CAGACAAATAAAAAAAAACTAGTAGCCTTACCCAATCAGCGCTCAGAACCTTTTTTTTTTGGTTAGAGGAGGAGGATGGGTGGGAGACACTACCGGTAGTGTTTCGGGTAAAGCAACCGCCCAAATATTTTACCTCACTTACTCCAAAAATGGAGTCACGCGAGGTAAGAAGTGTATAAAATCATGAGAGGCATGGATAGAGTGAATGCACTTAGTCTTTTTCCCAGGGTTGGGAAATCGAGGAATAGAGGGCATCAGTTTAAGGTAAGAGGGGAAAGAATAAATGGGAACCTGAGGGGTAACTTTTACACAGAGGTTGGTACACATATGGAATGAGCTGCAAGTGGGAGTGGTTGAGGTGGGTACATTAACAACATTTAAAAGGTTTTTGGACAAATACATGGATAGGAAAGGTTTAGAAGGATATGGGCCAAGTGCAGGGAAATGGGGTTAGTGTGGATGGACATTTTGGTCAGCACGGACCAGCGTGGGCCAAAGGGCCTGTCTCCCTGCTGTAGGACTCTATGACTCTGTCCGCAAGTATCCACTCCCTCCACCACCAACGCTCAGTAGCAGCAGTGTGTACTATCTACAAGATGCACTGCAGAAATTCACCAAAGATCCTCAGGCAGCACCTTTCAAACCCATGACCACTTTCATCTAGAAGGCCAAGGGCAGCAGATACATGGGAACACCACCCCCTGCAAGGTCCCCCCAAGCCACTCACCATCCTGACTTGGAAATATATCGCCGTTCCTTCACTGTCGCTGGGTCAAAATCCTGGAATTTCACCACCTCCCCCACCAAGGGCATTGTGGGTCAACCCATAGCACATGGACTGCAGCGGTTCAAGAAGGCAGCTCACTCCCACCTTCTCAAGGGGCAACTAGGGACGGGCAAGAAATACTGGGCCCAGCCAGTGACACCCACATCCCACAAATAAATAAAAAAATGATTTGAAGGGCTATGGAAAGTGGGCCGGAAAGTAGAGTTGAGACCATAATGAGATCAGCCATGATTGTATTAAATGGAATAACAGCCTGAGGGTCTGAATGGCCCACTCCTGCTCCTGGCTGTTTGTTCTCATGTTATGCAGTTCTCGATTTTGTGCAGTGATACCTGCAGTTGCAGTGTGTTGTGCAGTGGTGATCACTTTGTGGTTCAAGAAGTTGCCAGTGTTTGCTCTTGTTATTCTAGCTCATCCTCTTATTTAACAGGGTTTAAAAAGTTTCCAGAGAGCGCTGCATCTGTACCCAGTTGAGAGCTCGCTATGGAAGGATGACCTGGCTTGGGCACTTGAGCTATGGCAGAGGCAACAACAGCTTGCTGAGTCTGTGCCCACACAGAGAGGTGCTTGGAGGAGGGAACCGTCCAGGCACCTGCCGGACTACGACTTTGAGAGTGATGAACTCGTCGAGGCATGTGCAGCTATTGCGGAGAGGGACAGACATCCAGCTGTGACAAGGACCAGCATCTTCATTACAGCAACACAGGGCACGGAGACTGTGACTGAGACAGGCAGTCAACCGAGACTGAGAGATGGGAACTTCATCCAGGCACGATAGTGTCAGCTTCAGCATGTGTCTGTCCCAATCTCTGTTTCACAGTCTGTGAATTCTCAATGTTTGCTGCCCTGCCCTTGGTCTGTGTAAAGACATCTGTCCCCTATTGGTGTCAGTGGGGCCAGGTTTCTATGTGATCCTCCTTACCCGTACCACTGCGAATGGTGTGCAGATTAACCAGTCTCCCCTTGCTCTGTATCTGATGGGTACAGACTGCTCCAACTGGAGAGGTGGAAGGTGTGGTCCAGCCTCTTTAAAATGGTAACATTTGCAATGATTCAAGTTTGTATTTTCCCTGTTAAACCCACAATATTCATCTCTGATGGGATTCTCCCCAGTTATTGACTAACGCTTGGGGTGATCTCCCCAGTTCCTGACTGTCACTGGGGAGGGGATCTCCCAAGATTGTGATCCCTTGGTGGTGATCCTGCAGGGTACTAATACCTTGTGGTGATGTCCTTCTGAGATTGAAAGCTTGGCCCTGCTCTGTCAGCTTTCTGGTTTGGGTTTTGTGATAAATGCTTTTCCCCCGTTCTCTGTCTACACATTAACCTGGCCCACAATGATCAACTCTGAGTGGACATATGACCTCCAGACCCACTGCTCACACTCTCCAGTTAGTCGTCGGATCCCCTGGAACAGTGTCTCATATTTAGTGATAATGGATGATCTACACAATCTGACTGTACTGTACAGTACATCCAGAATAAATGTTTGTGTTATTATTCACTGAGTGAATTATTGTCGAGTCTTTTTACCTTCCTTTTTCTTCAACCCTAATATAGAACGAGAAAGAATTGAATGCCTCAGAGCAGACCATATTCGATTACTGACCCTATCCCACCCATTTAATCCCCCACCCATTTAATCCCCCTCCCACAGCCCCATGTACACTCTCCCCCCATCACTGACCCTACCCCCCATTTAATCCCCCTCCCCCAGCCCCGTGTACACTCTGCCCCCCATCACTGACCCTATCCGCCCATTTAATCCCCCTCCCACAGCCCCGTGTACACTCCCCCCACATCACTGACCCTACTCCCCATTTAATCCCCCTCCCACAGCCCCATGTACACTCTGCCCCCCTCTGTCATTAGCTCAGACCTTTGTTATTCATTTGTGGGACGTGGGCGTTCCTGGCTGTGCCAGTTATTTTGATAACCTGTCCTTAGACCTGGCAGTGGCCTGTTTTACGATCTCCTCTGCATTCTTGATGTTGAATTTATTTCTGTTTAATTTTCTTCCCTCAGGAGTGAGTGTGGCAGGTGCTGGGTCTGGGGCTCACACAGCACAATCTCATCAACCAATGTAATGGGAGTTTTCTTTGTGTTCGTCCTGTGGAAGTGGCCGTCTAAGGCAGCATTTGGGGGCCTATCACTAACTGAATCAACCACATTGTTCTGTAGGTGAGACCAGGTATGCCAGATTCCTTCCCCAAAAGGACAGCTGGGAACCGGGGTTGGGGGTGGGGGTGGTGGTTGGGTGTTGGGGGTTGGGGGTGGGGGGTGGGGGGATGTGGGTGGGGTGTGTGACAGAGGTTACATGGTCTCTGTTGGACTAACTGTTCATTGAATTCAAATGTCACCTTCCACCATGGTGGGACGGCACCCCCACCACCCACCACCGCCACCACCCACCACCCCCACCACCGCCACCACCACCACCCACCACCCGCCACCGCCACCCCCACCCCCACCCACCCACCCCTCACATTCTCGATTATTCGTCCAGTGTTGGTCCCACTCTGCCACAACTCCCTTAAGTTGGACCTCTTATTTCGTATCAAGGTAAGTGTCCTGACTTTGGAGTGTTTGATGGGGGGGACAGTGTAGAGGGAGCTTTATTTTGTATCTAACCCTGTGCTGTCCCTATCCCTGGGAGTGTTTGATGGGGGACAGTGTAGAGGGAGTTTTACTCTGTATCTAACCCCGTGCTGTCCCTATTCCTGAGAGTGTTTGATGGGGGACAGCGTAGAGGGAGCTTTACTCTGTATCTAACCCCGTGCTGTCCCTGTCCTGGCAGTGTTTGATGGGGGACAGTGTAGAGAGAGCTTTACTCTGTATCTAACCCTGTGCTGTCCCTGTCCTGGGACTGTTTGATGGGGACAGTGTAGAGGAAGCTTTACTCTGTATCTGGACCTGTGCTGTCCCTGTCCTGGGTGTATTTGATGGGTACAGTCCTGTCCCTCTCAGCGGAATTTGTGGTTTTAATTCTTCAATTCCTAATCATGAAATGACATTTTGTCAAATAATCTCAAATGAAAGATGTTGGAATTGTATTTGATAAATTCAATGAAATAGCATCACAGTTACACAAACAAACCACATCACGGGTTACACTGTCATCTTCTCACAGAGAAGAATGGAGCACACATCTTACTGATAACTCTAACTCACAAACACAATATTTACTGGGCCCCAGTGTGAGCTGTAGCACACACAGCCATGGACACACAGCTCTGTCTAAACTAATGTCCCAGGTAATGTATAGTTCAGACCAGCCACTCCCCACCCCCGGGGAAGTGTGAAGTTCAGTTGAGATGCTTCTGGGTCACATACACTTCAGTCCATATTCCTCTGAATAATATACAGTTTAGATAATAGACTCTCCAGGGCTGTGTACAGTTCAGCTTATACCATTCCCCTGGGTCCAATGTGTACAAATTCTCCTGGTTGTTGTTCCTTCTGCACCGCTGCCACAGTTTTATATACATTTCTCAGCCACTCCTGTTTGCTCGTTTGTGAAGGTAAAGGAGCTGTCAGTGTCCGTGCTGGCCACTAATGTCTTCTCCTGTGTGGGACTCCCTCCCTGCAGGACCCCACTGTCCTGCTGCATCTCAGGCTGGGACGCTGCTTGCTTCAGACTCGATCGCGTTCCCAGGGACCCCGGCAGCACATCGGTCAACTCAAAGTGATAGAGCAGAGTTTGTGAGGTGTTGTCGTTCACCAAGTCTTTGGAGATGAAGGAGGGAGATTGGCTGGAAGTAGCTGAGGAACGGCGAGGGCCCAGTTGCTGGAAGCTGCTGTTGGTGTGAGGGGTTCGCCCACCCAGCTTACAGAATAGACACTTGATCTTTTCCAGTAGTTTGGTGAGGACAGTTTTACGGAGCAAGATATAGATCCATGGATCAAGGATGGGGTTCACTGATGCAATGCGAATCGCCATTAGATCAGGATTAGAGTTGTCCTTTGTAACAGCAGGTCGGTACAGCTGGTTAATAAACACCCTCACCTTCGAGAGAGAGAGAGAGAGAGAGAGACAGATGTCAGGATAGGCGAAACAAAAGCCACAAGAGTGAATAGGGTGTAAATGCGACTCTGATCAGTACCAGGTTAGAGACACAAGGTGGCAATGTTACCCCACCTTCCACGGCTGGGACAATGGGCTGTTTAAATGGGCTGTTTAAATGGGCTTTGACTGATCCCAGGCTCATCACAGAGCTGGGCTTGCAGGGCGATTGAAGATCCTGTGATAGGGGAAGCTCAGACTGCAGAGAATCCAAAGGATACCAGGTCTTAACCTTTCAAAACCTGCTTTCAACGGCAGGGAACACCAGGCTGTTGAAAGGATTCAACAAGGGGAAATAAACTGTCAGCTGCAAGGTGGGGAATCAGCTTCACCATGGAAGTAAGTTTGCAAATAAGGAGTGGACATTCAGGACTCACTCCTCCTCCACAAAGCTGCGGAGATTTGAAAAATGAGATCAATGTTTGTTCATTATCAAGGAATGTGCAGGCAAAGGAGAGGCTAGACTTCAGATCCTTCAATCCTCAAACTGAAAGCAAAATAGATTCAAGGGGCTGATCTGATCATCGTGAAATAATCCTCTGATACTGTAATTGTAACAGTGACCACCACATAATTCCTTTGGAAAACCATGTACAGGCAAGAGAGGCAGAGTTTCCTTCCAATTAAATATTAGAAGGAATTTGCTTGTTCAGCACTGACTCCATTCCTGTCCTTGACAACAGTTGGAGTTTATGACAGTCTATTCACAACCTTAGTGTCACATTTAACCCGGAGATAAGCTCCCAAACTGCAATTTTGTGCTATCACTAATACAGTCTTTTCCCATCTCTGGATTGTCACCTGACTCCATTCCTGTTCAGCTGATCTGCTGCTGAAACTCTCAGTGCTGCCTTTGTAACCTCTCGACTCAAGTATTCCTAACCTCTCCCAGCTATTCTCCCACATTCCACCTTTCCATTCACTCTGGGTCAATCAAAACCTGACTGCCCATATCTTAAATTGCAACAAGTTGCAATACCCTCAAACTCCTGTGCCAACATTGGCCCCCAGTCAAGTAATATCTTGACTTGAGAATTCTAATCCTTGTTTTCAAATTCCTCCTTGGCCTGGTCTCACCATTTCTTAACCAAATATGAATTAGGGAGTTTGGATAAATGTTCAGGTTGGTACGCTGTAACTAGTGCAGAGCCACGAGGCTCAGTGCTGGGGCCACAGCTATTTACAATCCAGAAGCATGACATGGAGACCTGGACTGAGTGTATTTTGTAGCAACATTTGTTAATAACAGAAAGCTAGGTAGGAGCACAAGCTGTGAAGAGGACATAAAGAGTCTGCTAAGGGGTTCTGAGAGGTTGAGTGAGTGAGCAGATGTTTAATGACTGGGGTATAAGGTGAGGAAACATGAGGTACTGAGTAAAATAGAAAAGCACATTATTAATTAAATGGGAGATAGATTGCAGAACTCTGCAGTACAAAGGGATCTGGGTGTCTTCGTACAAGTATCAGAGAACTTTAGCATGTAGTTACAGGAAGTAATTAGGAGGGCAAATGGAATGTTGGTCTTTATCAAAAGAGGGATTAAGTATAAAATTATAGAAGTCTTGCATCTTGTATAGGACGTTGATGAGACTGTACTCATTATGACATACAGCTTTGGATTTCTTATTTGAGGGGTATACTGACAGAGAAGGCTCATTAGGCTGATTCCTGGAATTGATGGGGTTTGTCTAATGAGGAAAGGATGAGCAGGTTCACCCCTTCTTGGATTTCAGAGGTGATCGAATTGAAACATATTACAATTCTGAGAAAGTTTTACAGAGTAGATGCTGAGAGGATGTTTCCTCTTAGGAGAAAACTTAGAATTAGGAGGCACAGTTTACAAACAAATAAAAATATAAAGATGAAATGTGGGAATTCCTCTCTGAGGGTTGTGAGTTTTATGGAAGTCTCTCCCCCAGACAGCAATGCAGGTCCACTCACTGAATATATTCAAAGCCAGGTTTTATTGACAAGGGTTTCAGGTGCAGATTAAGGTGTGTTCAGATCTGTCACAATCTTATTGTACAGTGAAGCAGACATGAATGGCCAAATATCTATTCCCACTATTCCCTATGTCCAACTTCCGAGATTCCCCTACAATCGTGTCATATTTGCCTGTGAACAGTGGTGGGCACTTAACTAACTCACTGAAGGAGGAGGCTCATCCTCAACATCAGAAGAGCCGAGCACATCAGTGCAAAAGATCTCCCAAATATTTGGTCACGTGTGGCAAGGTGGGAAATATCCTACAAATTGTGACCTTCAGGATGTGAATCCGGGTACAACTCATTGCCCTCACGGATTGTGGCAACATGCCTGGCAGTGAAGAATTGTCAGGCGTTGCCCTGAATCTTGACGAGGATTCCCTCGTCTACCTCCTACACATCCCCCACTCCCAAACACACTCCCCACTCCCCAGACACAGCCCCCCACTCCCCAGACACAGCCCCCACTCCCCAGACACAGCCCCCACTCCCCAGACACACTCCCCAGACACCCTCCCCACTCCCAGACACACTCCCCAGACACACGACACACTCCCCAGACACACTCCCCACTCCCAAACACACTCCCCAGACACACTCTCCACTCCCAAACACACTCCCCAGACACGCTCCCCACTCCCCAGACACGCTCGCCACTCCCCAGACATGCTCCCCAGACACACTCGCCACTCCCCAGACACGCTCGCCACTCCCCAGACACGCTCCCCACTCCCAAACACAGCCCCCACTCCCCAGACACGCTCCCCGCTCCCCAGACACGCTCCCCGCTCCCCAGACACGCTTGCCGCTCCCCAGACACGTTCCCCGCTCCCCAGACACGCTCGCCGCTCCCCAGACACGCTCGCCGCTCCCCAGACACGCTCGCAGCTCCCCAGACACGCTCGCCACTCCCCAGACACTCCCCAGACTGTCCTGTTCACTCCCTGGAGACAGCTTTCAGTCGACAGGTGGGAATGCCCCATTTATGTGACCTTTCCCACCCGGACAGGTCAGGGAGGGACTGTTATCCCACAGACCAACACCGGGGAAGGTATGACCCAATCCCGATGGATCCTGGAGCCCAGGTACACGCAGTGGCCTTTCGGCCTCTCAGTCCTGCCACACTGTATGATTCAGCTGGATCTTGGTCTCTCTCCTTGTCCCAAAACGTTACCCAACCGCAATCTCCACAATCGCCCTGACCACCTCCCTGTAGCCCTAGCCTCAGCCACCTCTGGGAGAACGTTCCAGATTGGCTGCACTCTGTTTCCTGACATCGGCCTGGAACCATTCAGAACCTCTCCCTGCCCCGAAAATGTCAATGGGGTGGGTGGTAAAATATCCTAAACCACACCCCCCCCAATCTGTCCACAGGTTCCCAGGATGATGGGCGATGTCCCACAGACCCTCCCCCATCCCCACCCCCACCCCTGCCTCCCACCCCCACTGCACACAAACGATACCTCCCAACCGGCCCCACCAATGATGACCACTCAATAATCTCCCCTTCCTGACGTGATCCTCTCCCAACCTCCTGCCCTTTTACTGGGTGTGGTGGTGGGGAGTTTTGGGGTGGGGAGGGGGAGGGTGGTACTGTTGCCCCCGACCACGTGCTGGATCTATGGGGCTTCTGGTCAGGTCATTGCTGGGGGCCTCCTCCCTGCTGACACTTCATGTAGCTTTGCAGCACTACCGCAGCCCTCTCCCCATCAAACTCCCTGCCCCTCGACTCCCCGAGCCCGTCCCTGTCCCTCGACTCCCCCTGCCCCTCGACTCCCCCTTGGTTCCCCAGTCCATTCCAGAGAAATATTTCCTCTCGATCCACCCAATGCAATCTTTCAATTATTCCAGTCGCTCCTGGGCTGTCTGTAATGGAGGGACTAATCCGGTGCAGGTTACAACCTGCTCTTTACAGCTCCTGGAGCGCACGGGAAGTGTCTCTACCTCTGGGCCAGGAGGCCTGAGATTAAGTCCCACCTGTTCCAGAGGTGTGTCACAGCATCACTGAGCAGGTTGATTAGAAAATATCTGTGTCCTGTCCTCAGCAGGTTAACCCCTTGATTCCCAGCTGTCACTCTGATGAACCCAGGTTACACCCGGTCGAGCAGGAGCTACTGCTGTGGGAATCGAGAGCAGATTTCTGGTCAGAAAGAGAACACTGTGGTGACTGTGTCTGAACTGTGTCCCCCTCAGTAACGGTCTACACAGCAAGCCTGCAACACACCCAGCGTTCTCTGCACGCACATACACTCGCTCGAAGACACACTCACTCATACACGCACATCCACACACTAATTCTTACACACTCACTCATAGCCACAATCACACGCTCACTCATACACACTGACTCACTCAGAGACACATGTTCACACACACTCACAGACACAAATATACACTCAGACAATCACACGCTCACCCATACACACTCACTCACTCAGAGACACATGTTCACAAACACTCAGACACAAAAATCAGACATTTACGCTCACTCATACAGTCAGTCACTCTCAGAGACACACAGACACATAATCACACTGTCTTATACGCAGTCTCACACACAGTCTCACTCACACTCATACACATGCAGACAGTTTCACATAAACACACAGAGGCACACGCACACAGACATACACGCACACACACCTCTCATAAACACACACTAAGATATGCAAACACATGCTCACATAGATACACACATTCTCTTCCTCTTGCTCAGAATCTCTTCAATGGGCTGAATGTCCTATTTTTATCATTTAGCTGACATATTCACTAGGGAGTTTGATTTTAAAACAATCAGCAACAGGTAGAGACAATGTGAACTGCGATTGGAGACAGTGATCTGACAGTGGGAGCGGATTCACCAGGGACAGTCAAAAACAGGAACTGAATAAATGTTTGAAGGGGACCATTTGCAGGGCTGTCAGGGAAAGAGCAGGGACGGGGTCTGGGTGTGGGAGTATATAGATAATTCATTCAGCACTGGTCTCTGGGGTGCTGTGATTATCTGATAGCCCTTTATCAGTGTGTGGGCACCACGCTGACAGTGCATTGTCCACTCTGTCAGAAAACAGATTGTACCTGATAAACATAAAATATATGAGGGACAGTGTGAGAGCTGGGGTCGGTGGAGATGAGACAGACCAGAGAGCGAGAATGCACTAGACAAACGGAATGGTTTCTTTCCATACCATGACTCTGTGCTAATCAAAGTCACACTGTCTGACCACAGCAAGAAGTCACGAGCAATGTAATTTACTGCTGTTTCCGCAATGGAGACTTAAGACATCAGGGGAAACTGTTACACCTCTGAACATGTCATGGGTACAAATCTCAAAACTGTCTCATGAGAGCTCACATCTGATAAAGCTATCGAGATTGCAGGATGGCTCTGATAGACCAGATATAGAGAAGACATTTCCACTTACAGCGGGGAGAGCAGGACTAGAAGGTTATCAATGTGAATGAGTCACTAATAAACAGGAGAACAGAGAGTTGTGGAGGGAGAGTAGGCGGGTGGGTGGAATTTACTCCGTGGGCAGTGGTGCAGGGGAGTAACAGAATGTGCCAGGGAGAGACAGGGCTGGGAAGAGTGTCCCGAGACGGATAGCTGAAGGAGATGACAGGGGGACGGGACAGGGCAGGCTAGAGTGGATGGGATGAATGGCCTGCTGGGAACTGACATGGAATTTGTTTTATATCTGTTCATGGGATATGGGCATCACTGTCTGGGCTCACATTTATTACCCTTCCTGATTGCCCCTGAACTGAGTGCCTCACCCAGGCCATTTCAGCGGGCAGTTCAGAGTCATTGCGGTGGGTCTGGAGTCACATGTAGGCTAGACTGGGCAAGGATGGCAGTTTCCTTCCCTACAGGGCATTAGTGAACCAGGTGGGCTTTTACAACAAATCCACCATGCACAGTCATTAGGCTAATTCTGTACTAATTCCAGATTTTTATTGATTTGCGATAGGATTTGTACCCTTGTCCCCCAGGAGACTGGTCTGGGTTTCTGGATGACTGAGCCAGCGACATTACTGGCACCTCCACCACCACTTACCACCAGCGGGATAGAGCAGACCAGCACCACGGCCGATGTGGCGATCAGCAGGATGACCATCTGGATCTCGGCGCCGGCCATGCGGCGGAAACTCCTGCGACGTCGCAGTTCCCTGAGCCGCAGGTCATGGCCCAATGAGGTCCGTCGCATGAACTGGCGGTGCATGTGGATCAGAGCGACACACACCAGCACGTTACAGATGACAGTGACCAGGATGAGGAAAGAGCTGAAGCCAGCATACATGTAGGAGTAGACAGCGTGCAGGGGTTCCTCCGTCTGCCAGTCAATGAAGCACCAGGTGTTGGGGAACTGCTGCACGGTCTTACCCAGGCCAAAGTTGGGCAGGGCACAGAAGAGGGTGTTGGCCAGGTAGATAGCAAAGAGTGTGACACCTGCCAGCTTCTTGTCCACAAAGTGGTTGTAGAAGTAAGCATGGTTAATGGCTAGGTACCTCTCGATGGACATGGCGCAGATGATGCTGAGGCCGGATGTCCCAAAAAAGAGAAGGACAAAGGAGTCGTACTCACAGAGTGCACTGTCCCCTGGCCAGTTCCCGTTGATGTAGGTGATGATAGTGATGGGGCTGACCAGGCAGGTCCCCAGCAGATCAGTCACTGCCAACCCACACACCAGGGTGTAGAAGGTAGTCTCCTTCTGTTCCTTCCGAGATTTACAGAGGACCACAATGGCAATCAGATTCCCTACCACCCCGAAGACAAACATGACTGTGGGGATGACCGGGAACTTGGAGCTTTTGAGAATCGTGCTGCTGTTGACATTGTCGCTGTCATTGAGCAGACTCATGGTCAGAGGTGCACCCTCTGTCTGCAGTGTCCAAACCAGTCAATAAAAACCACTCAGTCTCGCCCAACACAACCTTCCCTCTTCAACATCCAGTCCCAGTTCCCCTGGCGTGGGAACAAACTGTTCGGAAATTCCAGCTCCTGTTTGACGGTGCTGCCAGAGTCTAACACAATCCCACAATGGATGGGGTGGTACCCTCGGGAAGGTACGAACTCTCCAGGTTTCAAGCCGAAGTTTTGAGGAAGGTGATTTGACGGAGCAGGGTTGAGGAGGTGCAGGGATGGGCAGGTACTCACTCTTTAAAGCAATATTGCACTCCTCTCAGAGAGATGCACACCTTGGTCGCCATGGTTTCTTGCTGCTCATTCAGGGTCTGTAGATTGCTGCGGTCCCTCTCCTCTCGGTCCAGGGTGTGCAATGAGCTCACAGTATTTCCAAACTCGGCTGGAGGCTGCACCTCACTCCCTTCTGCCTCCCAGTTCCCCAGACCGTGTTGGGAAGGTGTCCGAGCCTCTCTCTCTCTCTGACACGACACGTTGGCTCTCTCAGTCTGTGTGACTCAGGCAGGTTCAAACCTCCTTTCACATTCTAATCAACACTAAACTCTGCCCCCCTCAGTTTCCATTGGCCAGAGCAGCTCGCTGAATCAGTACAGGGTCCTAAGTGCCTTCCCTTATTGTATTCAGACTGCACTCTGTTCTGCCTGTGCTCCCGGGAAGCTGAGGGGCTCAAGCAAACCCATTCGGTTCAAAACGCAGTTAGGGATGGGACAGTAAACACTGACCCAGCCAGGGACACCTACAACCCCTGGCGGTTTGGGGAAAACAAAGACTTCTGGCAGCCCCTTTCATTTCAAAAATACCTCAGCACAATCCTGCAAAGGCTCGATTTTGTAATACAGTCAGAAACTGCTGCAAACTCTCACCGGGACTGGGATGGTGTGGGGTTTGGGGGGAACCAGGGGGAATGTTTCAGATCAATCACCAGAAACAATTTTTCGTTGACAGGATGGAGGGATGAGAGCGATACATGTTCCCACAGGGGACAGGCTACATCGCCTGTAACAGGGGCAGGAGCTCCCACAGGGGACAGGCTACATCGCCTGTAACAGGGGCAGGAGCTCCCACAGGGGACAGGCGACACCGCCTGTAACAGGGACAGGAGCTCCCACAGGGGACAGGCTGCATTGCCTGTAACAGGGGCAGGAGCTCCCACAGGGGACAGGCTGCATCGCCTGTAACAGGGGCAGGAGCTCCCACAGGGGACAGGCGACACCGCCTGTAACAGGGGCAGGAGCTCCCACAGGGGACAGGCTGCATTGCCTGTAACAGGGCCCGGTGCTCTCACAGGGGACAGGCTGCATTGCCTGTAACAGGGACGGGAGCTCCCACAGGGGACAGGCAGCATCGCCTGTAACAGGAATGGGAGTTCCCACAGGGTACAGGCTACACCGCCTGTAACAGGGCCAGGAGCTCTCACAGGGGACAAGCTACACCGCCTGTAATAGGGCCGGGAGCTCCCATAGGGGACAGGCTACACCGCTTGTAACAGGACCGGGAGCTCCCACAGGGGGCAGGCTACACCGCCTGTAATAGGGCCGGGAGCTCCCACAGGGGACAGGCGAAACCACCTGAAACAGGGACGGGAGCTCCCACAGGGGACAGGCTACACCGCCTGTAACAGAGACGGGAGCTCCCACAGGGGACAGGCTGCATTGCCTGTAACAGGGCCAGGAGCTCCCACAGGGGGCAGGCTACACTGCCTGTAACAGGGACGGAAGCTCCCACAGGGGACAGGCTACACCGCCTGTAACAGGGCCGGGAGCTCCCACAGGGGACAGGCTACACTGCCTGTAACAGGGACAGGAGCTCCCTCAGTGGGGTGGAGGGGCTGGGTGGGGAGGGGTGTGGCATGGGAATTGCTCCTCGGCCCTGCAAACCAAGATGACTTACCCATTGAGCATGACAGGCCACTGTCTGCCCTTGGCTTTCCAGGCCAAGCTGGAGGTATATCCTCTGGGGTAGCAGCATCCCGGGGTCCGCAGAGACCATGGCAGAGAGCCACAGGGCCAGGGTGGAGCTCCTCACTGCGGGCTGGGGAGGGGTGCGTGGGGGAGACACTGCCCCCGCACCCACCCCCCCGGCCAGCCCCAGTGACAACCCCTCTGGTTCTCAAAGTCAAACTTATGCTTATATTTGTACATCACTCTGTCCTGCAATAACCCTGCTCCTGTATTCCCTGTCAGATCAGGAATAACAGGACTCACTCTGCTTTCTCTCTCTCTCTCTCTCCCCTTTTCTCTTTCTTTCTCTCTCCCCACCACATATTCTCTCACTTTCTCTCTCTCACTTAATCAGTCTCTCACTGTCTCTCCTTATCCATCCCCCTCTCTGTCTGTCTCTCTTTCTGTCTCTCTCACTCTCTATCTGTCTCCCTCTCTCTCTCCAGGTCCCTCTCTTTCTCTCTCTCTCTCCAACTCCCCCTCTCTCCCTCTCCCTCTGTCTCTCCCTCCTTCCCCCTCTCTCTCCCTCCCTGCCTCTCTCTCCCTCCCTATCTCCATCCATCTCCCTCTCTCTCCCTATTCCCCACTGCTTGTTCTCACCAGCAGGAGGAATGCGGCTGGACAGGTTCCGTGTCTCTTCAATGCGGAAGCCTGCAGTCCCCACCTTCCCTCCTTTTCCCAGCTACAGTCTCTGTGCCTCACTCCCTTGCTCCCTCCTTCTAAATCTCTTTACCCCCTCTGCCTTTTCTCTTTCTCCCTCTCTTCCTTTCTCCTACTCTTTCTTTCTCTGTCTATCTCTCTCTCTCTGACCCTTCTCTCTTTCTCTCCCCTTCCCTCCCATTCTTTCTCCTTGTCCCCTATTCCTCCTCTCTCCCTCCCTCTCTCTCTCCCATTTTCCATTCCATCCCATCTTGTTCTCCCTCTCCCCCTATTCCCCCCTCTCTCTGTCTTTCTCCCTCTCCCCCTATTCCCCCCTCTCTCTGTCTTTCTCCCTCTCCCCCTATTTCCCTCTCCCTCTCTTTTCCCACTCCATCATTCCCCCCCCCTTCCCTTTCCCCCATTCCCCCATCCCTGGCTTTCTCTCCCCCTCCCCAATGTATGGCAGGGTGATGTTCAGTCAGCTTTGCTGTTACTGTGAAGGGATATCCTACATATATTGATCAGTTATATTGTCAGATCATTAGCACTAATTCCCCAACACTCCCCCAATTCCGAGAATCCCTCCTGAACTTTCTCGGGATAACCTGGGAATTGTTGGGATTGAGGCTCAGACACGAATGAAACTTGCTGCAGGTTTTTGTAACTACAATCTTCCAACACCGGGCTTGCTCAGAAAATGAACAATTGAAACTCTGGAGTCTGTCTCCTACAGGCAACAAATTGCTGCAAGAGATTTTCATGGAAGCTTCATACTGCTCCCCTCTGTCTTTTCTTTCTCTCTCTGAGCACCAACTTATTTGTAAATGGCACTGTAACCATCAGACCATAAGATACAGGCCATGCAGCCCATTAAGTCTGCTCCATTTGTTGGATACGTTTGGGTGATATATTTGTCAGCCCCATTCTCCTACCTTCTCCCTGTAACCTTCAATCTCTTTACTAATCAAGAACAAATGTCATTAATCAAGTAACAGAATGAAACATTGCGGGATGTGTAAAAGGAGTATTCTCCAACCAGGTTTGACATTGAGCCACTGTACAAGGCTGTAGATGAGGTAGAGAGGGGAAAGATTTAGGGCAGTATTCCAGAGCTCAGGACCTGGGCAGCTAAAGGCACAGCTGCCAATGGTGGGACGATGGGAATTGGGGATGTCTGAGAGACTGGACGAGGAGTACAGAGGTAGTGAGGGGCCCAGTCATGGTGAGTGTTTACTCACTTTGAGCTGTGATGGGATGTGGGTGTCACTGTTGCGCTTTTAGCAGATACATGAGAACACCACCCCCCTGCAAGTTCCCCTCCAAGCCTGTCACCATCCTGACTTGGAAATATATCACCGTTCCTGCAGGAAATATATCTTTGTTTCTTCATATTTCTTCTGGGTCAAAATCCTGGAATTCCCTCCCTAAGGGCATTGGGGGTCAACCCACAGCACATGGACTGCAGTGGTTCAAGAAGGCAGCTCACCCCCACCTTCTCAAAGGGCAACTAGGGACTGGTAATAAAATGTCAGTGATCCCATCTCCCACAAAAGAATTTTTAAAAAACTAAGTGTGTTGCTCAGCTAAGATAACAAGGTGTAGAGCTGGATGAACACAGCAGGCCAAGCAGCATCATAGGAGCAGGAAAGCTGACGTTTCGGGCCTAGACCCTTCTTCAGAAATGGGGGAGGGGAAGGGGGTTCTGAAATAAATAGGGAGAGAGGGGGAGGCGGATAGAAGATGGATAGAGGAGAAGATAGGTGGAGAGGAAACAGACAGGTCAAAGAGGCGGGGATGGAGCCAGTAAAGGTGAGTGTAGGTGGGGAGGTAGGGAGGACATAGGTCAGTCCAGGGAAGACGGACAGGTCAAGGGGGCGGGATGAGGTTAGTGGGTAGGAGATGGGGGTGCGGCTTGAGGTGGGAGGAGGGGATAGGTGGGAGGAAGAACAGGTTAGGGATGCGGGGACGAGCTGGGCTGGTTTTGGGATGCGGTAGGGGGAGGGGAGATTTTGAAGCTTGTGAAGTCCACATTGGTACCATTGGGCTGCAGTGTTCCCAAGCGGAATATGAGATGCTGTTCCTGCAACCTTCGGGTGGCATCGTTGTGGCACTGCAGGAGGCCCAGGATGGACATGTCGTCTAAGAAGTGGGAGGGGGAGTTGAAATGGTTCGCGACTGGGAGGTGCAGTTGTTTATTGCGAACCGAGCGTAGGTGTTCCGCAAAGCGGTCCCCAAGCCTCCGCTTGGTTTCCCCGATGTAGAGGAAGCCACACCGGGTACAGCGGATGCAGTATACCACATTAGCAGATGTGCAGGTGAACATCTGCTTGATGTGGAAAGTCTTCTTGGGGCCTGGGATGGGGGTGAGGGGGGAGGTATAGGGGCAGGTGTAGCACTTCCTGCGGTTTCAGGGAGAAATGCTGGGTGTGGTGGGGCTGGAGGGGAGTGTGGAGCGGACAAGGGAGTCACGGAGAGAGTGGTCCCTCCGGAAAGCAGATAAGGGTGGGGAGGGATAGATGTCTTTGGTGGTGGGGTCAGATTGCAGATGGCGGAAGTGTCGGAGGATGATGCGTTGGATCCGGAGGTTGGTGGGGTGGTACGTGAGGACAAGGGGGATTCTGTTTTGGTTGTTATTGCGGGGAGGGGGTGTGAGGGATGAGTTGCGGTAAATGCGGGAGACGCAGTCAAGGGCGTTTTCAACCACTGAGGGGGGGAAGTTGCGGTCCTTGAAAAACGAGGACATGTGAGATGTTTGGGAGTGGAATGCCTCATCCTGGGAGCAGATGCGGCTGAGGCAGAGGACTTGAGAATAGGGGATAGAATTTTTGCAGGAAGGTGGGTGGGAGGAGGAGTATTCTAGGTAGCTGTGGGAGTCGGTGGGCTTGAAATGGATATCGGTTTCTAGGTGGTTGCCAGAGATGGAGACAGAGAGGTCCAGGAAGGAGAGGGAGGTATTAGAGATGGTCCAGGTGAACTTAAGGTTGGGGTAGAAGGTGTTAGTGAAGTGGATGAACTGTTCGAGGTCCTCGTGGGAGCATGAGGCGGCGCCGATACAGTCATCGATGTAACGGAGGAAGAGGTGGGGGATAGGACCAGTGTAGCTACGGAAGAAGGATTGTTCCACGTAATCTACAAAGAGGCAGGCGTAGCTTGGGCCCATGCGGGTACCCATGGCCACCCCCTTTGTCTGTAGGAAGTGGGAGGAATTGAAAGAGAAGTTATTGAGGGTGAGGACGAGTTCGGCTAAGCGGATGAGGGTGTCACTGGAGGGGGACTGGTCGGGCCTGCGGGACAGGAAGAAGCGGAGGGCCTTAAGGCCATCTGCATGGGGAATGCAGGTGTATCGGGACTGGACGTCCATGGTAAAGATGAGGTGTTGGGGACCGGGGAATTGGAAGTTCTGGAGGAGGTGGAGGGCGTGGGTGGTGTCACAGACGTAGGTAGGGAGTTCCTGGACCAAGGGGGAGAAAATGGAGTCCAGATAGTTGGAGATAAGTTCGATGGGGCAGGAACAGGCGGAGACAATGGGTCGACCAGGGCATTCAGGTTTGTGGATTTTGGGAAGGAGATAGAAGCGGGCAGTGCGGGGTTGGGGAACGATGAGATTGGAGGCTGTGAGTGGGAGGTCACCTGAAGTGATGAGGTTGTGGATGGTTTGGGAGATGATGGTTTTGTGCTTGGCGGTGGGATCATGATCAAGGGGGCGGTAGGAGGAGGTGTCGGAGAGCTGGCGTCTGGTCTTGGCGATGTAGAGGTCAGTGCGCCATACTACAACTGCGCCTCTGTTCCCAAGTGCAGTTACAAGGCAAGCACGTTGCTGCGGGTGTGGAGTCCTGAGTAGACCAGGCCACTCAGGATGAAGACAAGGAGAAGGGTTTTAAAGGTGCTGTGTTGTTTGAATGGGAGCCAGTGTAAGTCAGTGAGTGTAGGGGCTGACTGGGGCTTCGAACTGCTCAGAACAATAAAACAGTGAATGAAACTCACACACCTGACTGATCTTGTACACCTCAAAGCAGCCAAGTGAAGGTTCAGC